AATTCGGTGTAGTTGTCAGCTTGTCATTTTACTCACCACGTTAATGAGCAATACACGATGCAAGTTCTGTCATTGCGTTTTAATGGAACTTTTTAATCATATCCTCGATAACCTTGTTCCCTTCCCAAGAAAACTAGAGCGTCCATTAATCATTGTCGATGTTCTTTACCATCTCCTCGTGTCAGCTTCTATCGTGCTGTAGCAAAACTGTGTCTACAATCATCTTTGATTGTACTGTTAAGTGTCATTCAACTAGTCATTCGTTGTCTAATCCTAGACATGCTGACGGGTTTAATTCAAGCATCTACTGTCACCCAACCTTTGCAAACCCAATATTTAGTTAACATAGTTCTCCATTCAATGAAATCTCTCCAACCCGAATCACACATCACTATATCTGGTTTACTCTTCAGTTACTTGATTGTTTCGATTGACCACTGTCACTCAGAAAATGCCCTAACACCTAGTTTAGTTGTATCAACCCCTTTTGCTTGAATCAAAATCCAAAATCATTGGCAAAAACCTGCACTAACGATTTCGACCTCATGGGAGTTCGCTTGGGCAAGAGCCATTTCAGTATTCTTAGACACAGTCGAAAAACCATCTCACATTAACGCATTAAACAAGAGAGAAAGTTTCATAATACACATGGCATGCATATTTTGTTGCTATCTTCAATCATTACAGCTTCATTACATCTAAAGTTTGTTGTGATGAAAGTTGACGGTACCAATCGTTCAGTGATTTATTTCACCAGTGAAATATCAAACGTGCCAAGTCTTATCTCTTGGTTGTTGTCTTACGTTTGTGTTCTCGAGTGCTTTTTTCAAGAAAAGGGAGGCAAATAGAAGGAAAATGAGGAGAAAAAACGGAAAATAATGTTGATTTTGCTTCTAAAAGTTTACTCCCGAAGTGGGGAGGAAAGTGAACGAAAAGAAATGAAAGAAAAAAAAATTATTGATATTTATAAAATTACACATTTATCCATCAATTATAACTTACTGGGAAATAAATCAAGGCATATTTGTAAAAATGACATATTTTCTTTTTCTTTCTCTCCTACTCAAAAACATGAAAAATCAACCACAAGGGTGGTGCCTAATTGGTTTGAGCTTGACTTCAAATGTCAAAAGTACCGGGAGGTCCCAGGTTCAAATCCAATGAGGAATAAAAGTTCCCTTGTGGCCACAGAGATTCAAATGTGGTGACTCCGAGTTATCTGCAAAGCAGGTGGTTGCCCTGAGATTAGTCGGCTCGCATAGCGGGTTGAATATCCAGGTTAATAAAAGAAAAACATGAAAAATCTGTTTTATTTTATTTTTCTCTCAAGAACACAGATTACAAAAATTATTTATTTCCCTTTCTTTTCCATCCCTTTATTTTTCTTCTAAAATTCGAAAACACAGTATTAAAGAGACAACTGTTTATGTATTATTGCATCTGACATTTTTAATTATTGAATGCTTAAAATACATTGCCAGAGCAATTGCAACAACAATAATGACAACGGTTGTCACAACATAGCAAATATAACTATTCGGTGACCGAAGTGTTTTTTTTTGCTGTTTTCAGATAATTACAATGTTTCTTATGCTATTTTGTTTTCTATCAAATCAATTATTTGCTGCATTTGTACAAATATCAGATAGACATTTATCAGTAAATCTCGACTCGTTTATAAAGTAATTGTACTGTTCATGTTTGATTTTACTTTTCGAAATAAATTTTTTATATGAAAATATTGATTTTCTTTTTTCCTTTTTACGGTTTGTTAGAATTGCATGATTTGTAATGAAACATCCCCTTTATATATGTATCAATTTTCTAAAAAAAACGTGCCATGGCGTGTTATGGCGTCGAGGCGCAACCTTGCCGTCATGTTAACCCCTTTGGCGTGGATATAAGGCGTGGAGCTCGGTATGGCTCGCCCTGGCATGCCATGACGCATTACAAGTGATATGGCGATGAACAATGATGACAACATCGGGCCACGAAACCACATGCATCAAATATCATCATCCTCACTTTCCCGATGAACAACGGCTACAATACTAAATCGTAGTCAGCACCGAACCACCATCAACAACAAGAACCACCTACATCGAATCTCGTCTTCCTCAAACCACCATCGGGACCTCGAGCCACCATCATCATCTTGCTTCAGCAACCATAATAACAAGTCTTTAGTGTTAGTGGGTTTAATTTTGCTTTTATTGTTCAGGTACTGATTATGTACAACCACTGATTGTTTAATGAAATTATATGTTTTGCTTGTGCTTATCTGTTACATATTTTAGGTTTTTCTATATACATTGATTCAAAAGCTTCGGTTTCCAATCACAATGGTGGTGCCTGATTGGTTTGAGCTTGACTCCAAATGTCAAAAGTATCAGGAGGTCCCATGTTCAAATCCAATGAGGAATAAAAATCCCCTTGTGGCCACGGAGGTTCAAATACGGTGACTCCGGGCTATCTTCAAAGCAGGTAGTCGCTCTGGGATTAGTCGGCTCGTATAGCAGGTTAGATATCCATGTTAATAAAAAAAAAGTTTCGATTTCCATGTGCTCTTTTCCCTCTTATTTACCTGTTGAGTATCTGTGAAAAAAAAAGGAACAATAAAGAAAGAGATGTGTTTCTCATTGAGTTTTTTAGGTTGCTTTCGGTTTTTATATTACTTTTGTTTTTAGTTATTAATGGAAGAAAATAATCGAAGAGGAAGAGGAGAGAGGCTACAAGTGGTTGCAACAAACTACAACAAAAGGTATTGTGAGATACGGCAGGAAAAATGATATAATAAGGGGGTGTTTGGGATTCCTTATTTGAAACAACTTATGTTTTTCTACAAAAGCACTTATCAACTTATTATAAGTCGGAAATGTTTAACTTCTTCAAAAACTTCTTATTACCGATCTGCCTCCGGTATAAGTTGGTTATCCAAACACTCAAAAATGCTTATTACCGATGCCACATCGGAATAAATCAATAAGTTACTTTTATAAACAATCCCAAACACCTTCTAAATATAGTTATAATATATTAATATTACAATTTTTATAAAATAATAATAAAAAGACTAAAATACCCTTAGCTAATTTACTCACTAATCATAACATACTTGACTTCTAGCCAGCTCAATTGGGCATATTGCCACTTGGCCTGTCACCATTTACAAATATAACGTGGGGACCACTTTCACAGTTGGCACCCAACCTGGAAAGCATTTTTCCTTTTTTACCCTCTTTTTGAAAATTTCAATTAAGCACATAATGTTTAATTAACTTAACTACATTCAGACATCTTAATATGTCAATAAGACATATTTCTCTGTGTCTTATTCACATCAATTTTTTTTATAACAAAGGATTTGATCATTATTATTAAAAGATGCATCATAATTATGGCTTTCTTCAGCATGTGCATTAATTAATAAAAACATGTGTCAATAATATTTTATGCAGTTATGACATCATTAATCACAGTTGTTGAAATAAAATGGTTAAAGTTACAGAATTTAATATTCAATAAATAAAAATTCAGAAACTATGGACTTATTATTAAATAAGTCGATATCATGTAGCACGAGAAAAGGCCCCTGGTCAAAAACCAAAAACTTTTGTTGACTAGTTTAAATTTTTTATTTTCACCCTCGTTTTATAAGATTTCCCCTCAGTCCCATATGGCCATATGTTTCCCTCCCCCAAGTCCCATCCAACGTGCCCCCACCCCATTAATTTTCTGGATCCGCTACTGGCTCCAGCCCAGAATACAATCCAGAATTATTGCAGTAGGATAATGGCTAAGAGGATTTGAACTCAATCTTGTCGCCCCTGTCAATAAACATGCATGAATCATTTCACGGTAGTGTTTCTTTTTAAAAAGCCATCACCCTTTACAGGAAATATGCTTTCTATTTTTTGGGTTGAGAAAATATTGTTTGCATCTTATCTATTTCATATCTTAGGGACTGTTTGTTTACCTTTTAATAGTTTTATTAAAAGATAATATCTAAATTCTTAACATGATGAATCTTGTTTGACAAAAAAAAAGCATGCCTATTTATGATTCCAAAGTATTCTGAATAATTTTGTATTTTGGGTCTCTCTTAACCATTCAACGTCCTAATTAAATTCTGAACAATTACCAAACAATTATATTTCATTTTACACTATATCATGAGAGTATTTTTAATCATTGTAATCACTTAATCATTCAGCAACTATCAAAAAATTGATTTTGTTGGCCAAAATTTAAATAAAGCAGGAATAGAAGGGCATAATAGGAATATTGTTGAGGTTAAATTATTGATCACATAGTTTGTATCATACATCATGATTCATATTCTTTCAAAAAGATGCGATTCCATCATCAAGAAATTTTTAAACCCTTTAATTATTAAATAAATAAAAAGAAAAGAAAAGAAAAAAACAAATAAATAAATTAAGAAAGATCCGAATCTAAACTATCGAACATTCCGAAAATCGAAGCCCTAATCGTACGGTTGTCAACCTTCAAAAACTGATCTTTAAATCTGCCACCATTCGCTGGCAGTCTTCTAACAATGACGAACAGCATCATTCCACCATAAAATTCTCTTCCCCCATTATTTTATCAGAGAAAAATCAACTCATTTCCTCTGTCTGCATCGCATTAATCGTCTTTCTCCGGTAGCAACCACCATTCTTTCGCCGGAAAAATCCATTTTTCCGGTAGGAATCCGGAGGATCTTTGAGGGTTTCGACAAGTGGGTTGGTGATGTTTTGCTTCAAACATTCACTAAAAACACATATATAAAATATCACGTCTCTGTTGCGTCTTTTCTGAAACAAAGCTTTTTTAAAGAAACCCAATTCGTTAAACCAAAGGAATAAGTCCTTTGTTTTCATTTATGGGTTTGTCTTGAAATTAGAGAACTTTAAGGTTTTTTTTTCTTGTATCTTTCACTAGAAAATCTATAGATATATATAGTTGTATGTATATATAGTTGGTGGTGGTGGAGGAGGATGGTGATGATGGTGGCGTCGCCCAAAAATTCGTTAAAAGCGGTGTTTGAAAGAGTAGGAGTTTATGGTTTTGGTGGTGGTGGTGGTGGTGGTGGTGGTGGTGGAAGCAGCGACAGACAGAAAAGAATAAGATATGAGATTCATGATGAAGATGACACCATGGAAATGGTTCAGCTTGGTGCTGATAGAACCAAGAATGTGCTTATTTTGATGAGTGATACCGGTGGTGGCCACCGTGCCTCCGCCGAGGCCATCCGTGATGCCTTCAAGATGGAATTTGGTGATGAATACAGGGTAAAAATTTCTACCATTCATTATGAATATATCTATGTTCTTCACATACATTTCTATATAAAAAAATTGATCCAATAATGTTAAAATTCTTGAATTTTGCATAAAGATCATGTGGTTGCTCATAAATTTTCCTCTTTTATGTTATTTGTTTCATTGGAATTAATCACTCGAGCAATCTTTAGTTTTGTGATCAATCTATTCACATATGAATAGATGATCCTAGGTTTTAATTTTGTCCCAAGTTATGTGTGTTTGTTGTCTTGAACAATTGTCAATCCAGAACTTTGCCACTTTCATACTGATCTTGAATCTTGATCTTGCAATTTTGTATGTGATCACTTAAGTATTCATTCGGTTTACGCAGATATTTGTTAAGGATGTATGGAAAGAATACACGGGGTGGCCGTTAAACGACATGGAAAATCAGTACAAGTTCATGGTTAAACACGTCCAGCTTTGGAGCGTAGCGTTTCATGGCACTTCTCCTCGATGGATACATGGTGTTTATCTTGCCGCCATTGCCGCCTTCTATGCCAAGTATATATATTCTTGATACCGTAGTTTTAACGATGTTTTAGGGTACGCTTGGTGCACGGGAAACAGGACAGTACAAAAACTTGTTGTACTAGTTTGACGCGATATTAGACTGGCGCAGAACTTGACCTGAGACAAGACAAGATTGCTTAATTTTATGCAACTTCAAACCCTAAAACATTAGTACAGTCTTGTCATGTCCAGTACAGTCTTGTCGCGAGGGCGTTTCTGGAAACAATTATATTGGAAATTTTGTGGGCATTCTTTGTTTTTTCTAACGTCTTTGGCGAAATCTTGATTGAAGGGAGGTCGAGGCCGGTTTAATGGAGTACAAGCCGGACATTATCATCAGCGTTCATCCTCTTATGCAACACATTCCTTTAACGGTTCTTAAATGGCAAGGCTTACAGAAGAAAGTCATATTCGTGACCGTTATTACGGATCTGAATACATGCCACCGGACGTGGTAAATGTCATAATTACCCTCATCGTTGAGCCTAATTACGATACTTGATCCGAATATATTCAAACTTTTGTTACATAACCAGGTTTCACCCAGGGGTCAAAAGATGCTACTGCCCTTCGGAAGAAGTATCAAAGCGGGCTTTGCTAGACGGTCTAGAACAAAACCAAGTGCGTGTTTTCGGATTGCCGGTTCGGCCCTCTTTTGCCCGTGCTGTCCTCGACAAGGTTACAACTTTTCCTTCGGTTTTTTTTCTTTATCATGGATTTCTTGGGGGTAATTTGGGGATTTTTACAGGATGGCTTAAGAGTAGAGCTAGAACTCGATCCGGTACTCCCTGCGGTTTTGCTGATGGGAGGTGGTGAAGGAATGGGCCCCGTGAAGAAAACCGCAAAGGCGCTTGCAGAATCTTTATTCGATAACGAAACTGGGAAACCATTGGGACAAATGGTCGTGATATGTGGTCGAAACAAAGCTTTAGCTTCTTCGCTTCAGTCTTTGGAGTGGAAGATACCCGTTAAGGTAAAACGATTATATTTTGTTTTTCAAACCAAACGAACCCAGTATATCCCACCCGGAGGTGGAGTCCGAGGAGGGTAAAATGTATGCAGACGTGGCCTGTACCCCAAATAGTAGAGCAGTTGCTTTCTTGAATACTGTTAACATGAATCAAATCTGTGGTTTTGATGATAGGTTAGAGGATTCGAGACGCAGATGCAGAAGTGGATGGGTGCTTGTGACTGCATTATAACCAAGGTTCGATCTTTTAGTCTATCAAACCGAGCTAGTAGCTCGTATCGCATATGGTTAATACATTACTTCATGAATCTTGGTTCGGAGCGACTCTGCGGTGGTAGTCGTAACTTGCAACTCCGGTTATCGTCTAACGGTGTTTTCGTTGGATCTTGTAGGCGGGTCCCGGCACGATTGCCGAGGCGTTGATCAGAGGGCTTCCGATCATCCTCAATGACTATATTCCAGGACAAGTATGTAGAATCTAACATTTTTCTTACATACAATGTTCTCAAGAATTGTGATCGGTCTTGTAAGATATGTAGAAATCTATCAGATATATTCTGGACAGTAATCTGATGAGGTTCCACATATCAGCTAAATGACCTTCTGACAAGTGCTTATAATAATCCATTACCTACCGACAAGTTTCTCAGAATTCTTGATATAGAAGTAGCATTCTTCTGTAAAGCAGTGACATTCTTAAACCTGTCAGAAGGTCATGGATTAAAAAAAGTTGTCAGAAGGTTATTTAACCAAAGAACTCTGGTGGTGGGTGGGTGGGTGGATGGGTGGGGGCGGACACTCGCTAGCCTTTGTTGGAGGGGGCTTGTCGGAGTCCCACATCAGCTATCCATCCGACCTGTAGGGTCGATGAACGATCTTGGTTTTAAAACGTTGCTCATACTCTTCGTTAATTTGCTTGACCAATAGGAAAAAGGAAACGTCCCGTACGTGGTGGGCAATGGCGCCGGTGTGTTCACCCGAAGCCCGAAGGAGACCGCTCGGATCGTGGCCGGATGGTTCACCACCAATGCAGATGAACGCAAGAAAATGTCTGAAAACGCCCTCAAGTTGGCTCAACCGGAGGCCGTGTTCGACATTGTGAGGGACATCCACGACTTGGCGTGTCAACGTGGGCCGCTCGCTGACGTTTCCTACGTTTTAACGTCGTCGTTTTCTAGCTTAATTTAGCAAGATGTACATGTAATTTGATTAGATAATCATTACCTACCATTCTTTGAGCTTGCAGAAAAGCTTGTGTGTGGCAAAAATTGTAAGTTTTGTGTTGTGGATTTAGGGTTTGTAGGACATGAAGAAGTTGGTGTGCAAAATTTTAGTTTGTATTGTTAGTTTTTTTTTATATTATTAACCTGATATCCAACTCGCTATGCGAGCCGACTAATCCCAGGACGACCACCTGCTTTGCATATAGCATGGAGTCATCGCATTTAAATCTCTGTGGTCACAAGAGGATTTTTATTCCTCCTTGGATTTAAACTTGAGACCTATTAGTACTTTTGATCTTTGGACCCAAGCTCAAACCAATGAGATTATATCATTAATTTTGTTAGGGGGTGTTTGGGATTGCTTATTTAGGATGCTTATCAACTTATTTCAGTTCCGTACCGCCGATAAGTTATTTCTAGTGTTTGGATGAGAAAAAAAGAAAACGGCTTATACCGGTGCCAAACCGGTAATAAGCAGTTTTTGATAAGTTAAACYGTCCTGACTTATCAAAATCGACTTTTGACAKATTACCCTTTTAACCCTGTTACCTTTCTCTATACCCCTAACAGACGAGAACCACAGCAGCCCTGTTACCTTTTCTCTCTATACCCTAACAGAGACGAGGAGAACCATGGCGGTTGGAGATGGTGATGGTCTCATCGTCGCCGGCAATCTCGATCTTGTTGGTTCCGATCACCTGTGAAATCTCATCCGTCTCATCGTCGCCGGCAATCTCGATCTTGTTGGTTCCGATCACCTGTGAAATCTCATCCGTCTCATCGTGCCGGCAATCTCGATCTTGTTGGTTTCGTTCTCCTGCATAGACGAGAATCACAGCAGATTGATGGTGGTTCACAGTGGTTGGAGGTGGTGATGGTGGTACATGGCGGTTGGAGATGGTGATCGTCTTCACCAGGAGATTGAGGGGAGAAGGGGATGAGAAGGCTGCTTATTTAGGTGCAAAGGCTGAAGGGGGATTAGGGTTAGGTTTTTTTTTATATATTTTGTATTTGTTTTTATTGTTTTATACTTGAAAATATAGATTTTTGTCAAATATATTATTGTAAACGATGAAAAATAAATTTTTACATGTTAAAAAATCAAATAAGTTAATAAGCAATCTCAAACACTTCCATAAGTCAATAATATGAAAGATTGTCCTTTTTGGTCATTTTACATATATAAGCAAAATTTGCCAAACACTAAAAAACAACATATCAGCTTATTGTTTTTTGGTACCGCTATAAGCTAATCCAAACACTTTTTACAAAACTCCGGTTTGATACCACATAAGTTAATAAGCACTTTTACAAAAAAGCATAAGTTATTTTAAATAAGCAATCCCAAACACCCCCTTAGTTGCAACTCACAAAAATGGATCTTGTTCAATCCTTGATCACATATTGGTTTATAAAAATGCACAAATTGGGATTCTTGATCTTAAACATCATTTCTTTCCGTTCTTTATTTTCTGGGTCTGATTATTGCTTGATTAGAATGGTCATCAATGGCGGAAGGTGGACGGAGGTTGAAGATGAATCAAATTTTCAGTTTTGGCCCTTGAATGTTATTGTGGTAAGCAATTTGATCCCTCCAGAATCAGAAATTGAAAATTTGGAAATTTATACGTCTTTCAACCTTTAAAAGGAAATTAGACATCCGATTTTGGAGGGAACGAATGATATTTTTACTCGAATAAATTCGTAAAGAAATCCGTGCAATTTTTCCGGCGAACTGTTACGGCATCTTCGTCGGATCAGAAGAAGAGCATCCTGTCGTCGTCGATGAAATCAATCATCCCCAGGTATACTTCTCTTCATCTGCTTGATAACAATGGTGATTCTTTTTCATTCTAAACAAACTGCTCGATTTCGATTTCGATTTTGATTTGGGTTTCGATTTTGATTTTGATTTCTTCCCTTATTTATATTCGATTCAGATGGGATTTAATCGGTATTGATTTGTTTGCTAAATGGAAATTAAGAGCAGAATCTATCGTTGGTATACAATTGGGACCTTTCATCCATGGAAGATTGTGTTTCTGAGCTTGTTTTATGTAGTTTATTGATGAAAGTGTATCAGTGATTTATGGGTTTGATCGTTGTATGGTTAATGAAAAGGAAATTCATCTGTTTAAATTGGTCTCCTAGCCGTTTACCTCTCGTGTTTACCTAAATGTCACTAAGTCCGTAGTATTCACATCCGCAATCCGTAATATTTATCCAAACGTCACTACGTCTGCAATACTGCAGATCTGGCTAAACGACAAAAAAAATCAAATTTCACTATGTTAGCAAGTGGTAGCGTCGCAAGTGCGGGTCTGGCTGTCGAAATGCATACCTGGGTTGAATCTGATATTTTTTGTGTCCTCCAGCCAGGTCCATAATATTGCAGATGTAGTGACATTTGAGTAAACAAGAAGAGGAATGACTAGGAGACCAATTTAAATGGATAAAATGGGTATGTGAGTCCATTTCCTACATTGTTCTTTCCATCATTTGATTAGTGATTTAGGTGAAAACTTTGATTGTAAATTGAGGTGTTTGGCAATATAGGCGGGTTCAAAATAAGAAGCTGAAAGAGAAAATTCATATGTGAATTATTGAAGAAATCCAGGAAAAAAATCTATTCGATGATGCATACATGAATCGACATTACATATTATCTTCAAATGGATTTTTTCAATGATTCACATATGAACATTCGTTTAACCTTTTCTTGATATTAAGCCTTCTTATTTGAACTTTCTACTGTAATGGCATTATGGCATTACAGATAAATAATATAACGCCAAAAGATCGTTTCGTAAATTATGAATAGATATCTATTAAATTGGTTATGGGCATTGTTGCTTGTCAAATTGACAAATGATCATAACACATTTTCTTTTTCCTTTTGGTACTTTAACCACAAGGATGGTGTTTGATTGGTTTGAACTTGGTTCCAAAGGTCAAAAGTACCAGGAGGTCCCAGGTTCAAATCCAAGGAGGAATAAAAATCCCCTTGTGGCCACGGATGTTCAAATGCGGTGACTCCGGACTATCTGCAAAACAGGTGGTCGCCCTGGGATTAGTCGGCTCGCATAACGGGTTGGATATTCAAGTTAATTAAAAAAAACTCATGGTATAACAACTCTATCTATGCCCTTCACATTTTTACAAAATGATGGTCCATTTGTTTTGTCAATATAGTTCATGTAGAGGTATTGTTTTTAATTAATCTGGATATTCAATTCGTTATGCGAGCCGACTAATCTCAGGGCGACTACACCTGATTTGCAAGTAGCCCGGTGTCACTGCATTTGAACATCCGTAGCCACAAGGGGATTTTTATTTCTCCTTAAATTTGAACCTGGGACCTTCTTGGATTTGAACCTTGTAGAGGGATTTTTTATGTAAATAAAATAAAATCAAACTAACTCAGTATATCTTATCTGTAAAAAAAATTGATTATTAAATTGAAAGATCTTTTCGGGTGTTTACATGGATTTCTCTTTCCGACCATGATATGTGTGCTTTGTATTATAATGTACAAATACTTTGAAGATTCATTTGTCATCACTTTGTGCTTTTTATACTGTGGAGTTACAGTAAAGTCAGTAAATTTTAACATAGTTGTGCCAAGAGTGTCTTGTGTTTTATGAACAGGGTCTTGTGTAATCATTGAGGAATAGCAGTCAGGGGCAAAGATTTTGGTGACGAGAAATAATCTTGCATTAAACATGGTAAGCATGTTTCAGTATTAGCTTATATTATATAATATTTATATACAACAAATAGTCATTGACCTCATAGGCAGTTGGTCTCTACCAGTAACTCGGACACTGTTAGGCAAAAAATCCTTTAGACATATTGTGTAAATAATAGAAGAAAACTAAGCATTTTTTTTTGTGAAAGCGTAAAAAAAATACTGTGATTTGCAAGAATGAACAGCTTTATACAAATTATGGAAATGTAAAGAGTTGTTCATATTCAAAATCATTGTATTTGATTATGGAAGTCCCTAATTCTTACAAAATTACAGAAGAATAATATTTATAAGTCATTCATTATTCTGTATGAAATAACTGTTTGTTTACAAGTTATTTTGAATAAACTGTATACATAAAATTGCATTAAAAACCAAAAGAACCCTTCGGTTTTCTTGTTCAAAATTCTTGTTGAAAATTGTGATTCTCGGTTTTACATAAATGATGGTTTGTTTACATCAAAAAGTCAAGTAGCGCGATACGAAGGGTCATTTAATTATGCATTATTTCATAGTGATTTCAACAACAGCATTTGTTACTGTTCTTATGAAAATAATAAAGTGAATAGTAAACAACGTAACAAAGAACGATTTTGGATAAGTTATGAAAATATAAAAGGAAAAGTCTAAAAAAACCTAATGGATTTTAATGTTTGGAATGATTAAATCCTTAGACAATTTTTTGGAACAAATAAGTCGTTGGACATTTCAAAACATGTTAAATAACTTTTTGGACAATTTTTTGGAACAAATAAGTTCTTGGACAATCCAAAACATGTTAAATAACTCCTTGGACTTTTCTAAAACATGTTGGATATATTTTTATGACTTGTACAACTAGTTAATGTGGTAAAATAGTGAAAAAAGTCGGAAAAAAACCCAATGAACATTCATATTTTGAACGATTAAGTTCCTAAACAATTTTTGAATCAAAAAGTATTTAGATCTATAAAATTAAACAAATATAACAAAAAAGTACTTACATTTACAAAAAAAAAAATTACATTTAAAAAA